GTGCTTGTTGTGTTTTTTAAATTGTTTTGTATTGTTGTCTTGTTTTTGTCTTACTTTTTGTATTTGTTCCCCTCGGCTTTTGTTCAGCCGCCCTGAGTCCCTCTGGGAATAGGGCGGCTACAAATCGAATAAATCCAACCCAATCCAATCCATTGGACTCTATCCAACAATTTGTAATTTTAGTGGTAAGACAAGTAACTTAGGCACCTAGGCAAAAAAAATGAGATGACATGTATAGGACAGGCAGTGCCTGGCTTAGCAGAAATACCTGTGACAGGGATGTAGATGTCCTGGTGGACCATCACTTATGTATGAGCCAGGTGTAAGGTGTATCGACAAAGATCACAAGAAGTGATGATGATGCTTTATGATCCCAAAGTGCTTCCACTTCTGAAGAAGCTTCTTGGATGAGATGACAACCATGACCTAGATGATTGAGAAACTCCATAGACAGCTTTATACCACACTAGTGAGGTCACACTTGAAATACTGTGTCCAATAAAAAAAGGATGTTCAGGCCATAAAAGGTTATGGAGAACCTCAACAAAGTTGATTAAGACAACTGGCTAGAAACCTAGAATATATATTTTTACACAATCCCACACTAATGGTTGTCCAATGTTTTTTTTTCTTGAAGACCTCTAGTGATGGAGCATCTACAACTCTAAGATTTAGGTGCTTGGCAACTGACTCAGTGTCCTGGTGTCATATGATCTTTTTCTCTTGTTCCTCCTTCTCTTACACACACACCATGACTTCTCCTTTATGTTCCCATCACTATCAATTCTTTGGGACATGTTGGCCTTCTGCAGCATGATTTCATGAGTAACCAAAGAGTAACCAAGATCTCACCAGATTGAGTAAGGACAACACTTTCTGCCATCTAAATTGTTTTAAATCATTTGTAAAACTAAATTTAATTTGAATGAATTTGGGCATCTACCAGAGGTGTTTTCAGAGAACATAAAATAAATCCTGAAGGCATCTATGAAGCCCATAAGAAAGATTGTGCAACCAAAGACGACATATTGACTTCTTTTTTGTATCAAATATCAAGATTGTACCAAATGATGATACCTCTTAATATTACACTGATGAGACCACCCTTGGAATACTCTGCATATATTCTGGTCACCACGATACAAAAATGGATGTTGAAACACTAGAAAGTGTGCAAAGAAGAGCAGCAAAGATGATCAGGACTCTGGAGACCAAACCATATAATGAACTGTTAAGGGAATTAGGCAAATCCTGCTAACAAAGAGAAAGGTTAGGGGTGACATGATAGTTGTCTTCAAATACTTGAAAGGCTGTCACAGGAGAAGAGGGAATTCAGTTATTTTCCAAAGCACTTGAAGGCAGGATAAGACGTAACAGATACAAGATCATTAAAGAGGGATCCAACCTAAAATTAAGGCGAAATTTCCCGACAGTGAGAAAAATTAATGGATGGGACAGAGTTTGTTGCAAAAATCAAATCCAGAAAGCACACACAGATAAC